GAGGTTCAAGACCAGCCTGGCCAACATAGTGAAACCACGTCTCTCATAAAAATTTAAAAGAATTAGCCAGGCATGGTGGCGGGTGTCTGTAATCTCAGCTACTCAGGAGGCTGAGGCAGGAGAATTGCTTGAACCCAGGAGGCGGAGGTTGCAATGAGCTAAGATCATGCCACTGCGCCCCAGCCTGGGCGACTGAGACTTCGTCTCAAAAAAATAAAAAATTAAGTAAATAAGGATTGAGGAGTCACTTGTACACCAGTTAAGCCCAGCCCCCTCTCACCCCTGGGGAGTACCAGAGGCAGAACCCTCCAGGACTCAGACTCAGTGGAACTCTGCTCGGCAGGCACAACACTGTTTGCGCATGGGCCCTTTGCAATCACCAGGTTTTCCGGCTCCTTAAGGAGAGCCATGACGTGGTCCCTGGCCCCAGGGCCCCTGGCGATATCCAGGTGCTGGGCTGTGACCACCACCCCTCACCAGCCCACCTCCACCAGCCTTGCCCAGAACCCCACCCCCGTGTTGGAAAACTTGTGTGCAGAGGACAAGGGAGCAGGCCCCAAGGGAGGACTGGCGGGGCTGCCGACGGTGAAGGCCACTGTGTCCAGCTGTTCCCTTCCAGACCCACTCCATCCGGGCTGTGTCCCCAGCTGGGCCAAGCCCTGATCCCTGGGATCTGGGGACCTCTTCCAGTTTGCTGTTCCCTGAGAACCAGGCCTCCCTCTGGAGAGGATCACAAGCTTGGGTTTCATTCTGGGCTTGTACTTGGAAAGCCCCCCCCAAGGTCTTGGCTCCGACTGGATGTTTTTCTCCAGCCTCTTGCCCAATCCCCACTCCTCAGACCTCAGCTTCACCTCCCTGTGTCCTCGGCAGGGTGAGCTGGACGCCCGCGGGTCTGAGAAGGCGTCCAGGGTTCCCGGCATCAGCTGGCCACCCTCTGCCTAAGTCAGCGCTAGGCTCATGGTGCCCTCTGGTGGCTGGTCCTAGGTAGTGTCGCTGCCCAGCCCCAGGAAGGGAGGGCCTGTCCCCAAGTCTTAGGGCTCAGGGTTGGGAGGGGCAGGGCTTGGCGCAGACTTGCCCCTGGCCCCCAGCCATGCGCTTGGCTCTCCCCATGCTGAAGATGCTGAAGCTCGTTCTAGCGCCCGCAGTGTGAAGATCTCCGAATCCCACCTCTCCCTTCCTCCCCAGCCAGATGGCTCCATTTTACATACAGGACAGAGGCCCGGAGAGTGGGGAGCCAGGCCAGGGAGGCTGCCTGAAGCCTGGTACAGCAGCCTCATTTATTGTGTTGCTGTGCTGCTCACAGGGAGGCACATCCCCCAAAGTCCCCTTCCTGGCCCTGGTGAGTATCTTGTCCCTGGATTGCTGGTCGGCCTTGTCCGCCCCAAGCACTCAGTAGCCAGCAGGCTCCCCGCCTTTCCTGGAGTCTGAGGCAGCTGCCCAGCCACCAGCCGTGCGAACAATGGCCTGCACCACAGCTATGAAGGAGGACGCGATCTTGGTGTGATGGTGCCGGGCCTCCAGGGCTGCAGTCACTGCCTGGGGGTGGGAGGAGAGGGGAGGCCTGAGCAGTGCTCCAGATGCCACCTGAACCATGCCTGTGGTCACAGGCCTCAGCCCAGGTGGTGCTATCTGGGGTCAGGAGATCAGGAAGAGCAGGTTGGGGCCTGTTGGGTCTCGTTGAAGCAGGCGGCTTGGCCCTCACGGCACAGGAGCTCCAGATGGCCCAGGTACCAGACGGAGGACACCAATCATTGTCCGCTCTGTGATGATCCAGGCCTCCAGCCCAGGATGCCCTGTGGCCCCACACCGTGACTCAGTTTCCCCAACCCCCGGCCCACCTGGTCAATGTTTCTCTCCACTGTGGTGACGTTGGGCAGAAGCTGGTTGTGCAGCCGGGGCTCCTCCACGGCCCGCTTCACGTCATAGCCGAACCAGAGGTGGTAGATGATGGCCTGGGCATGGGGGGGTGTGATCAGCATGGCCTGCGTGCTGGGCAGGGTTGGGTGGGGCAGGCAGGGCCAGAGAGGGAAGGGGTGACACATACCAGTGCCGTGGCCGTGGTGATGTGTGTCCCCCCGGAAGCTCCCACCACCATCCGGACCTGGCCGTCCTTGCCCACCATGATCGTCGGGCACATGGATGAGAGGGGTTGCTTCCCTGCGGCCGACGGGAGAAGACAGGGATGCCGGTCAGCTGCCTGCCCAGACAGCCGTCCCTCTCCACCCCAGTGCCCCACCCCCGGACCTCCACCCCATACCTGGATAAATGAAATTTGTGGGCGAGGGGGGCACCCCAAACTCATTGGTGATGTTGGGAGAGCTGAAGTCGTCCATTTCGTCATTGAACAGAATGCCGCTGACCGGGGACCGGACCTTGGAGCCAAAGCTACAGCCCAGCCAGATCAGACAGTGCCCGGCCTCACTCGGCCCAGCCTGGTCCCATCCACCCACTGAGCCTCAAACATACTCCCTGTGAGGCCCAGAGCAAGCTACCAAGGCAGGGCCTCAGTTTCCCGTCAGGATAAAAGGTGATGGAGCCACCTTCTGGATAAGCAGGCAGTCTCTGGGCCACCTGCCCCTTGCCCTGCCCCACCCCGGCGGCCCAGCAGTCCCTACTAGAGGTTGATGGTGCTGGTGGCCGACACAGCACTGCCGTCCTCTGCGATGACAGACAGATGGGCAGTGCCCCCATCATCCGGCATGTAGAACTCAGGCTCATAGTAGGAGGTCGGGTGGGTGGTGTCGTCAGAGATCTGAGCCC